ATTTAATGGCAAATGGTATTTAGAAGCCAAATCTGGGCTTTAGGTGTACTCATTACTTGTGAGTGTCACTGTGGACAGAGTTATTTAGAACTCTATTTATTTCTATATCTATCTATTCTCTGGTGGCATAGTGCCTGAGGCATTTGACTACTAACCAGAAGGCTGGTGGTTCAAATCCACCAGCTACTCCTTGGAAGGAAGGTTGGGCAATCTACTTCTGTGGTGACATTGCCCTGGAAACCCAAGGAGGGGTCTCTATGAGTCGGATCTGACTCCATGGCAGTGGATTTTTTTTTTTTTTTAATCTACTCTATCTTATCGATCTGTCTATCATCTATCTACCTACATAATGCGTTTTGGTCATATGTGTGTTGGTGTATCACGTTAGGTGCAAATACGACTTTATAATTGTCCTTATTTAGAGATTATATATGGTTAAGAAGATGTGTATAACTGCCAAGTTGACAAGGGGTGGACTGTGATAGTTGGAGTTGTGTGTCAACTTGGCTGGACCACAATTCTGTGTGGGTTAAGCAGTTGTGATGTATGTTATTCCCATGATAGGATCAGATGTATGTGTTTTAAGCAGCCAATCTGTTGAAAGGGAGGTTCCCTAGGGATGTGGCCTGCTTCCAATATATTTATGGACATCCTGGGAAAATGAGACACTCTTCTGTGGATCGTGATCCTATTGTGCTGCCAACAACTGCATGAGTGAACAATCTACCATTTGGCCTGGTGATCTTGGATTTGTCATTTGTTGGAGTCAACAGCTGGTATACTGCCTGCCAACCTTGAGCTCTACAGCCCGTGCAGCTACGTGAGTCGGGAAAAGCCTCCATCTTGACATTTGATCCAAAAACTTGGGACTTGCCAGCTTTTATAAGTGTGTGAGCCATTTTCCTAAGATAATTTTTTTTCTCTCTCTCTTTAAGCTTTACTGGTTTTCTTTCTCTAGAGAACCCAGCCTAACACACTTTGTTCATGCTCTGACACCCTGCTAGGTCCTTCCTGCAAACACCTACTGTGCTCTCCTCCAACTCATGACTTTAGGACTGGAGGTGAAAGGAAGGGGAAGAAGAAAAAGAGAAAGGGATTTTCTGTCTCTTAGATTTGCTCATTCATCTTTCCACAGGGAAATTTATGCTTGAAAAAGTAATAAAGAGGCAAATTTGCCCTTTATTTTCAATGGTAACAAAAAAAAAAAATCTGGAGAAAAGTTTGATACTGTTAAAAATAGAAAGATTTGAAGTTATTTCTCCTTCTAAGTGAAAAACAGAGATTTTATTTCTCTTCTTGATGTTTCATATTTTGTCTGATAGATGACTTCTAAATGAGATAAATAGAAAGGCTGAAATGGATATAAAGTTCTATTTCAATTTTCTTCTTTTATAGCTGAGGAACTTAAATCCTAGTTAGGTCAAAAGACTTTCTCAGGTATTCCAAATGGCTGAGTCAGAAATAAAAAGGGCATCTTTCCACTCTTTGGCCAGTGTTCTTGGCATGCTACCTTCATTGTTATCATTTAAAATGATTTTATCTTTAATACAAATTTTTTAGAAAAACCATCGTATTTAAAATTGGAAGTATTTTTATTCAGTGACAATATTACTAATAGAATGCCATGTTTTGGTCCCAAAAACATTATTGGGGTAGTACTTTGTCTACTACCCCAATATAGTGGTGGTATAGTGCCTAAGGCATTTGGCTGCTAACCAGAAGGCTGGCAGTTCATACTCACCAGCTGCTCCTCGGAAGGGCAACTGAGCAATCTACTTCTATAGAGATACCACCTCAGAAACCCAAGGAGGGGTCGCTATGAGTTGGAATCGACTCAACGGCTGTGAGTTTTTTTTTTTTTTTTTTTTGGTTACTTTGGTGAAAATGGTTCATTAGAGTGGAAGAACTAGAAATTAAGCTTATCAATTTGGCAGTTGTTAGGTACCGTCTTAGTGACCTGATGTACAACAGAATATAGCCCAGCTGGTCCTGCGCCATCCTCCCAATTATTGCTATGTTTGAGCCCATTGTTGCAGCCACTGTGTCAATACATCTTGAGGGCTTTTTCCTTTTTTGTTGATCCTCTACTTTACCAACGATGGTATCTTTGTCCAGGGACTGGTCCCTCCAGATAACATAACCCAAGTACAAGAGTCATCCTTGCTTCTAAGGAGCATTTTGGCTGTACTTCTTCCAACACAGATTTGTTTGCTCTTCTGGTAATCCAGGTATATTCAATATTCTTTATCATACCAGAATTCAAAGGCATCACTTTTCCTTATTCATTGTCCAGCTTTATCATACATATGAGGAGACTGACAGCATGGCTTGGGTCACTTTAGTCTTCAAAGTGACATCTTTGCTCTTTAACACTTTAAAGAGATCTTTTGCAGCAGATTTGCGCAATGCAATACGTTGTTTAATTTCTTGACTGCTGCTTCTATGGGCATTAGTACCTTACCTTTTTTTTTTTTAATACTTTCTCTTAATTGCATGTTTATATTTATAATATTTGTACTTGGTAAAGTTCCCAAACAGGTTGGTTATTATTTATTTTACTGTCTATTGCCTTATGGGGTTGGTGGGCTCATATCCATATATATATGCACACACACACACAAGAATAATTGTAAATAAATTAAACTTTAAAAAATCCACAATATAAAAATTTTTGACTGCTAACCAGAAGGCTGGCAGTTCAAACCCACCAACCACTCTTTGGAAGAAAGGGTGGGCAAGCTACTTTTGCAGGGATACTGGCTAGGAAACCCAAGCAGGGATCGCTATGAGTCAGATCGGACTTGATGGCAGTGAGTTTGGTTTTGGTTTAAAATCCATTTATATTTCTCAAAAAAATTAAACATTTATAAATTAATTTAGTTGCAGATCAAGCTGGAAAAGAGCGAATTCTTGGTATAAAAGAGCCATCTGAGCATTTAGTAATTTCCTTGAATCACTGAGATCAAAGGGAAAAATAGGCAATAAACTGTATTTAAAAGTCCAATCAAAGGCTTGACTAGTCCCCACCAGATGAGTAATTTAAGAGAACTGCAGTGACTTGGACTTATTTCTGGTCCTCTGGTGAAACATTTTTCCTTTGAGCATCAGTGTAATTATGCATGTTAACAATGCTCAGATTTTATAATTGGAAGGGACACATCACTGAGATCATTTAGTTCACCTCTCTTCAACTGCAGAAATCCTTCTACCACATACCAGGTGGTCAACTAGAAATGGTTGGTTTGAATCACTTTCGATGGTGGGGAACTCACTATCACCCAAAGCAGCTGTCTTATATTTTGCAGAAACGTGTTTCTTGGTCATTTTGCCCTGTTACTGTTGTCTTATGTACTCTGGATTTAGAACACAGTTAAACCCCCTACTACTTGACAGTCCTTCACTCCTGGGATCTTGTCTTCCTGTGTCTTCTGTGGTGTGTCTCTTAAGATCCTCATGAAAAAGGAGATTCTTTCCCCATCCCCATTTCCGTGTTCTGTCTGGACTATCTCTTTTCAAATGTACTGTTTTAGCAGATGAGTTTTTTTCCTTACTAGTGTATATTCCTTCAATGAAAGGCAAGAATACCAAAAACCTGTCAATGACCAGTTGATTCTGACTTTTAACAACCATATAGGACAGAGTGGAACTGCACCATAAGGTTTCCAAGGCTATGATCTTTATGGAAGCAGGCTGCCACTTCTTTTTCCCCGCGGAATGGCTGCTGGGTTGGGTTCCCTTCGATTAGCTGCCCAGCGCTTAGCCACTGTGCCACCAGGTCTCCTTCAAGGCAGCACTCTGAATTCTTGTTGTTGCTATTGTCCCTAGCCAAGTAACAGTGAATCATGGTTTCACTTTAGTTCTGGACAATCATAACCAGCAGACACAACCTTTGCCCTTAAACACGGCTTCACACAAGCTTGTTGACTTCACACCTAAGTCAGCTTTTCTTGAACTCTCTTCTGAACAAACAAACATACATTCTGATCCGCGGATATCCTGTGCGGCGTCCGGAAGGGCCAGCTTGCCCTGTTCCGGCTCAGCTAGCCAGTTAACCACTCTACAGATTTAGTTTCCTCTTTCTCTTCTGATTTTAAGAAGTTAGACAAAAATCAATTTCTGTTAGTCTCTTAAGACAATGAATGGGGCCCCAGACTCCATTCCGGGAAGCTGGTTTCAACACAGTAACAAAGAAGTGGACCATCCAGACGAGGGAGGAGGCTAGGACGCGGAGGTGGCATTCAGGTAACCCGGGAGAGAAAAACGGTGGGGAGCGCTCAGGGCTAAGGATGGGAGTGAGCAATTTAGGCAGCGAGGAAAGGCCAGCGGCGAGGCACCCGGGGCTACGCGCCCCGGCGTGGACGCGCCTGGAAGTTCAGGCTGGGGGAGTGTGTCACCACGTGCCGTAGGGCGGGGACTGGGCCCTCCTATCTGTAAAGGGCGCAAGGTTGGATCCTAGGTTTAACAGCGAACCGGCCAGAGATAAAGTAGAAAGAGAGAGAGAGAATCTCACCGAGACATTTAGAAAGTCGCAGAAACAGGCAGAAACAGACAGAGGCAAGGTGAGGGGCAAGTGAGACCTTCCTACCAGTTTCCCAAGCCTAGAAAGGGTCTGGGAGGGAGGCTCCCGTTTAGTTGCTCAAACTCGGGGATTCCAAAGGGGCGGTTTTCTGCATCTTCTTGCGGCTACGTGTCTTACCCCTTCTCAGTTAGCTTTGGAAGGAATTAAGCAAAATAACAGGAAGAGGAGTTGGGCTTTTACAGCTAGTGGTGGTTATGGTTCTTCCTAACGAGTGGCGTGGTCTGGGGCGTTATATCCGGGAAGAGCGTGTGTCACCACACTCTAAGCAAATCCTGGGGCGTTTGCAAACGCGGCTCTGGGGCAGCTGGCCCTATGCCCGTTCTGGTGTTCCAAGGCTCAGGCCGCGCAGCGCTCCCTTGTCTGGCCGGCGGGTGGCCCAAGAGACATTTATCTCTGTACCCCTTTGTCCTCTTTATCTCAGGCCCTCCAGGAGGCCCGAGGGGGCCCCGTCTACCTATCGCTATCCCTCGGCGGCATAGCCTCTTCAATGCCCAGCAGGGCGCGGGCTGCTGTTCTATCCAAAGAGGCCAAGGACCAGGAATACCCCGTGCCACCACTCCCTGGGGCTGGCTCAGCCGCCTGACCCGTGCGCCCTTGGGCACCGACGCCGGTGCACTCAGCGCGTCCCTGCGCTCACCAGCCGGACGCCGGCATTCGGCAGGCAGCCCTAATCAGGATGGCCCCGGGCCAGGCGGTAGCGGGCCTCCTTTTGCTGGCTGCTGCCGGCTTCGGAGAAGCTGCGGCCGGGCTGGAGCTAGCCTTCAGCGAGGATGTGCTGAGCGTGTTCGGCGCAAATCGGAGCCTGTCCGCAGCGCAGCTCGGGCGCTTGCTGGAGTTGTTGGGAGCCGCCCCCAGAGAAGGCGCCCCGGAGCCCGGGCAGCTGCACTTCAACCAGGTAAGGCAGGCGGGGTCCCAGGCAGATCTTCTTCACAATGGTTGTCCATATAAATGGCATTTATTTTGGAAACTGCCGGAGAAAGAATTCATCCAGTTTTTCAAGTATGAGGTCGTAAGTGGTGGCACCAGATTTTCACTAGACTCGTAAAGAGCTAGTGTTGTTCAAGGGGCTTGGTAGCCTAAAATTGCACTTATATACCTCATAAGGGAACTCTAGTGGAGCAGTGCCTAAGGCATTTGACTGCTAACCAGAAGCCTGGTGGTTCAAACCCACCAGCCACTCCTCGGAAGGGAGGTTGGGCAATCTACTTCCATAGTGATGTTGTTGTTGTTGTTGTTATGTGCCGTCGAGTCAGCCCCGACTCATAGCGACCCCTCCTTGGGTTTCCGAGGCAGTATCACTACGGAAGTAGGATTGCCCAACCTTCCTTCCGAGGAGTGGCTGGTGGGTTTGAACCGCCAGCCGTCTGGTTAGCAGGCAAGTGTCTTAGCCACTATGCTACCAGAGCTCCCTACTTCCCCGGAAACCCAAGGAGGGGTGTCTATGAGAAACTTGTGGTTATAAGATTTAATGGAAGAGTTTATAAATAGTTCGTGGAGTTCTAAGGCAGGAAGCCACCTCAAGTGACATCATTTATATTGAATGATGTACTTAAATATCCCCCAAAAGATAGTGGTTTATACATTTCCTACAAATTCGGCAAAGAAGATACCATAGGCCACACTCAGCTGTTGGCCAGTGGGGAAAACTGCCACTTAAAAACCAGATACAATGTAGTTCTCTTTCCTGATTACGAGGTATTTACAACTTAAAGTCTTTATACTGTACACATGGAGAAACTGAGGCGGCCCTGAGATCAAGATCATTCAGTTGGTGGCATAACTATGATTAGTCTTAGTCTCTAGTCATCTGTTAGGTTAGGTCAAGTGTTTGAGTGTAGCATTCATTCACAATAAAAAAATTCATATTTATCAGTAATGCACACGGTATTATCTAGGCACTTAGTAATTCTTAGCATTTAGGGACAGCCTTGAACTACCTAAGAGTGATTAAATAAAGATCCTATGTTGGTAGATAGCGAAGTCAAGATTCAAAAAGGATGATATTGTAGATACCTAGTAATTTCCCAAGGAGCTCTGGTAGCGTAGTGCCTAAAGCACTCGACTGCTACCCAGAAGGCTGGCGGTTCAAACCCACAAGCCACTTCTCAGAAGGATGGTTGGGCAATCTACTTCCGTAGTGATACTGCCTAGGAAACCCAAGGAGGAGTTGCTATGAGTTGGGCACATAACAACAACAACAACAGCAGTTATTTCCCGAATAAGTATTGTAGCACTATTTTATTTTTTTTAAATTATGAAGCAAGCAAAATGTGGTTTCAGAATTCCCCCATTCCAACTTCTATGCCCCTTCTTCCCTTCTTTATAACTGACTTAATCTAGTGCTTTGATGTTTTCCTCCTCTTGTCCCACTGTCTGCTATTCACAGCTGGTGGTGAATAACAGAAAATGGTATTTTCCATATTGTTCCTCACTTCTGGGAGATGTTATTTTGTGTTAAAACAAGGTTTTGTGGTCCAAGATGTTTGATGCATTCTCCATATCATATTTCCTAATGTATTTGACTTTCAATTACAGTCAGAGAAACATTAATTGGATAAATTCCTTACCCAAAATATTATAGGTAGCTTTGGTATTCTTTTTGTTAGAAATATTTTACCTCAATTAAAACATACTATACTCAAGTAGAAGTAGAATTTTCTGATGCCATGGAATATCAAAGGGTAATCTCTCTCTGATCAAGGACGATATTATGGGCTTCTTGTGCATGTTCCTTAGTGAATTATCTGTAGTTCCAGACATGCTGGACAAAACAAAATGCCCACATGTTATATTAATATTTTGGAAAATAAAACAAAGCAAACAACTCTCTATGTATTATCTGGTGGGTTAATTGTCTCTTCTTTCCAAGTAAGGGAAGTAAGTGAGATAACTCTGGTATTTCTGGGTAGGAGCAGGGGCAGTCATATGGTTGGAAGGAAGTTTGGGGACTTGACTTGAAGTGGTATATCTGTAGCCCACACATTGTTTTAAGTTAAAGTATCTCTTTATCTTGCAGTCTCTGGAGGTCCAAAAGATCTCCAAGCCTCGCCTTGGCATGTTGTTGTTGTTGTTTGCCATCGAGTCGGCCCCGACTCATAGCGACCCCTCCTTGGGTTTCCGAGGCAGTATCACTACGGAAGTAGGAATGCCCAACCTTCCACTGGAAAATATACCTAGCTCTGGTAGCATAGTGGCTAAGGCACTTGACTGCTAACCAGAAGGCTGGCGGTTCAAACCCACCAGCCACTCCTCGGAAGGAAGGTTGGGCAATCCTACTTCCGTAGTGATACTGCCTCAGAAACCCAAGGAGGGGTCGTTATGAGTCGGGGCCGACTCGACGGCAAACAACAACAACAACAACAATTTAGGAAAATTGGTTAAGTTCATTCAGCAATTTGATTCTAAGTTTATGAGCAGATTAGATAAATTATATGTATGTTGACACCTTATTTCTTCCTCTAATGTTTTTGTGTTTAAATACTCTTATTATGGGCTCCCTGGGCCTCAAGAAGAGACAAGAAGAAGCCCATAATTAGCTTTGAAACAAAGGGAAGCCAAAGACAATTTATCACTCAATCAGGCCTAACAAACATTTATTTGATATTTTAAAAAGTCCTAATGAAAATAACAATCATCAGTTAAGTGATGACAAATGAAATGCCAATCCTGGAGAATCTATTAATTTGCTGGTAATTGATGGACCTTAGCCAAGGCATTCATACTTGCGGTAGAACTGAAACCGTCTAGTTTGGAGTATAATTTAGGTCCATGAATATTCCCCATACTTCAGTGAAGGCAACTTTAGCTTCCTCACCTGCAACAAAGTAGAATAAACAATGTATGGGCCTATTGTAAGAAACTTGTTTTTCTGACCTTGAAAAAGTCTGAGAAAATAGAATTTGTTTTCATGGGCCAGAAATTTGTTGGCTTTTCTACAAGATCTATCTAGAAACGGAATTATTTCTTTGAATGATATTTACTAGGTAGGCTTCTCTCACATATTGTGCTATTGCACTCTGGAGGTTTATTATACAATTTTGGAAGGTTTTTATTTATTTAGTTATTTTAAATATCCCTGTGCAATCTACTTCCTTAGAGATACCCCCTCGGAAACCCAAGGAGGGGTCGCTATGAATCGGAACTGACTCGATGGCAATGAGTTTGGTTTTTTGGTTTGAAGCACTATTAAAATATTTGTTGCTTTGGGAGACCAAAGTGACCTGTGTTCAAACTGGACACAATAGAGAAATTGAGTTTATTGTTTGGCTTCTTATGGTTACCAAGGGTGCAAAGGCTGGTACAAGGGGAAACTCAGCCTAGGGAGGGTCATTTTAGCCAAATGGGTTCTGGGACTCCCATGACTGACTATGTGTAGGTCTGATCTATCTTGGGGAGTTCCTAGTGTGCATAGAGAAGCCCTGACTATCTCAATATTTTAATTGTCCTGGGTTATTAATGGAGAAAATTTAAGAATGGTGTCAATACTGCCTTTTATTTGCTCAGATGTTCCTTTCTTATTATCTTAACCAAAGGTTTTTCTTTTTTTTAAATTCTTAGTTGTAAACACTGGTTAAACAATTTAAAAAAAGGGAAGATCCCCATTCTCAAATTATCATGCTAAACTGCCAGAAATGCCTTCATTGAATAGTCTCCCTGGGAGTGTTAATGGGGGTGCTGGAGGTGTGGCAGTGAGTGTGGTGAGGTGAAGTGTGAAGTAACCTTTGTTTCACACTATCACTTAATCTTAAACTTTTGCTTCTCTCATCTGACTCTCTTCTTTTGATATGCATCTTGCAACAAGTTTCCTGCATTACTTTTTTTTCACAATCCTATTATAACCTTATTCATCAAGCCTGATTGCCTGACACCTGTTTTTAATCTCTATCACTTCATATTTTTGTTGTTATTGTGTGCTGTTGAGTAGATTCTGGCTCATAGAGACCCCATATGACAGACTAGAACTGTCCCATATGGTTTCCTAGGCTGTAATCTTTATAGGAGCAGATCACCAGGTCTTTTCTCCCATGGGACGGCTGATGGGTTTTAATTGTCAATCTTTTGGTTAGAGGCCAGATGCTTAATCGGACCACCAAGACTCCTCAATTTATATGAGATACTCCTAAAGCAATGCATAGAGTATGCTTCTTTTCTTTTGGAGACCTTCCATGACCTGTCTCTTGCTCTAAATCTTGAAGGCCCTGCTTTCTCTGTGCTGGTCTTTCTCTCCAGACCTAGCACCCAATGAACTAAACCATTCATTCTTCTATGAATTCACCTTAACACATTTGTTCAACAGCATCTTAGTTAGCTCATTATCTTTCTTGAACTATTGCTGCCTCCAACCTGGAATGTTGCTCTGTTCCTTGAATCACTCTATCAAAATCCTACATTTCAAAATCCTGGTTAAAACCTTCCTCCATAAAATCTTTCTGGGGCATCATAGCCAGTACTTATTCCCTGATTTCTCTCTTTTCTGAACTCCTTAAGTGTTTTTTTTTTTTTTTCTTCTTCTTTTAATTAAATGAATGTCTCTTAACCATTCATATGTTCAACAGATGTTTTGAACGTTGTAATTACACTGTAATTAGAGTGGCCATTTTAAAGTGCAGATGTGATTATATCACTCACCTTATTAAAACAATTCAATGCCTTCAAGATAAACTTCAAACATCCTAATGTGACTTTAAAGCCCTTTTATGATTTGGTCTCTGTATATTTCTCAATCCTTATCATTTTCCACTGCTCCAGTCTTAGTGGTTCTCTATACACACTTGTTTGTACCTCAGTATTAGTTTTGATATCACTTCTAAGAACTCTTTCTTGATTTGATCAAGAGTTTAGTAGGGGTCATTTCTCTGTGATCCTACATTAATTTGTGCTTATACAAACATTGCA